TAATGAGATAGTTCCTGCATAAAGTAAATGCCCATGTTACTATTATACTCTTTTTTATTAAGACTTCCATATTTCTGTTTCATATCTTCCTATTTCTGTTGTTGTAAATGTTCCCAAATCCTTTGTAGGAAGAGATAAATTTTGATTTCTTTTTCAGCCCCATTAACCCCCTAGTAGCACAACCAGAGCCGTGTACAGAATAAAAAAAGCTGAAGACATCTACTTGATCAAGTAAAATTTGCTCTTGGACTCAAAATTATTATTTCTTCCAACTAAATAATGCAGTTTCTGTAACCACATCTTGTACACTTTAATGAAGTTTCCCTGAGAATCTATTTTTCTCTTATGATATTTTATTTCTTAGTGTAGTGTAGAGGCAATGTTTAAGAATCATTTTCTCTATTTTCGGTAGGTGTTGATCTCTTTTCTTTTCATGTACAGGATGGCGCTCACTCATAGCCTTGTGTTCTACAACAGGAAAGCTAGCAATGACTTTCTCAGATAGAAACTGACAGAGCGGAACCTTTTGTTTTCCTGCCTTCTTAACAAGATAATTCCATGCCTATTAACATCCTTCCTCCCTGGAGGAGATGGTTTTCTATTTTTAAGATCCTATCTCCTTTCTGAAGACTGTTTTTGCTTATATGCTGTACTGCATTCAAGTACATAGAAGTATTGTAAATTACTTTTTTTTTTTTTTTTTTTGTGGTTTTTCTCCGGTATCGGGAACCGAACTCACGACCTTGCACTTGCCAGGCAGGCGCTTTTGCCGCTGAGCTAAATCCCCAGCCCCTGTAAATTACTTTAAACACCTAAGACCTGTTCCAAGATTAAAACAACAACAACAATAACAACAACAAACCAAGAACCTAGCACTTAATTCAAAACACTAACAACTATGAGGTTCTACAAGTTGTAAGACAAACTATTGTTTGATCCTTTAAGTAGAAAAAAAATCCAACAGGTGGAATTTTACTCCTTATAAAGTAAGCTCTTTAGATTGTTTTCACTGGATCCACTTTCTCAAGCCTCAATTAAAACATGTCCTTAAATAGTCCATAATTAGAGAGCCTGGATTAAAACCAATAAGTGAAAAATCTTATTATTGCTGAAACAATGTATGATATTCTTAGATCCTCTTATCAGTGGCGTATTGCCTATTACCAAGAGATGGTAAAAGACACTTGAGGGGTGGAGAAAAAGCTGGGACCAACTTAGCAATGCCAGCTGATTTCTCTTTATACAGACAGTGGGGAGCACCACTCCTGCCTTCCTCCAGAGAAGAACAGGAAAGGAGGTCCTTGTCAGATGCAATTTGCCTTAGAGATTGAAGAACTGAAGGGTTGTAAAACATTGGAATTGCTGTCTAAGAAGAGACAGTGGCTATTTAAAAACAGGGCAGATCTTCATCTAACTGTCATGGCTCAGAGGTGAACAGAGACCCATTAAATTACTTCTTGCAGCCTGATAAGTCTATAGTGTGTGCTGGTAACATTTGTGAAAGCCCAGAAAACAGGGCCAGAGAGAAGTTGTGAGTTGAGCTGACAGAGTTATCCACTTGCTGCATTTTATTTTGTTTTTCTTTCTCTTTAAAATAAAAAAGAAGCAACTACTGAAATTTGCTTAGCTGCTCTAACCACTAAGCAAACAAAACTTTAAAAGAGTAACTAGGTGAGGTGAAAGATGTGTTAACTAGCTTGACTGGAGTAATCATTTCTCAAAAGCTAGGTACATCAAGTCATCACGTTGAAGCAATAAGATTTTACTTGTTGACTATACATCAATAAAACTGGAAAATTAAAAATAAAAAGAAGCAAATTTGTGAATCTTTAATGAAAGAACCTGTTGAGAACATGATGGAAAAGTTTTCTGTTAACCGCTTTCCTACATAACTCTTTGCCCCATCTTTATTTTCTTCTCATTCTGTACCACCTACACCTAAATTATAATGTCATTCTGCATTTAATATATTTTTATAATCCACTTTAAAACTTTCCTAGTATGAAAGTTGTTAAATTAAATTAAAATTTTTTTCTTAATTGAAGTTTTAAGAGTTTTTTTTTTTTTAAACCGGGAATTATGCCAGGCGCAGGGGCTGAAATGACAACAAAGCTTCACTGTAGAGAAGTTGACACAGACGGGTCAGGAATGTAATGCTGGGGAGTCACAGAGCATAAAGGCTTTCTGCCATGTGAGTGAGAAAGGACACAGGAAAGGTGATAGCAGAGCTGGTTGGGGCCAAAGACAAATCCTGCCTGCAGGTATGAATAAGCAAATATTAAAAGCCAGGTCTCATCCATGTGTTTCTAAACTGAAGTATGTTCATAACATAAGGGGAGTGTGAAGCCAGGGTGGGTGAGAATGTGTCTTCAGGGAGAGCTGAGGCTGCCCTTCTTAATCCATCCACACAAATGCCACTATTCCATCCCAGTAGTTGCTGCAAATGACCTCCTACACTATTTCCTTCTCACTACATGAACAGTAACCAGTATAATTTGACAGATGCAGGAGAATTGCCCAGTTTCCAGGGAATTCTGGTAAAATGCAGTAGCAGAATGGATGTCTTCAACAAAGGAGAAACACTCAATAATCTTTTTGAAACCCCAATTGAAATCATATGGATAAAGAGCATTCTGTCAGCCTCCTCAATGTAAAAATATCCTACTGGGTCATAGACCTTACAAATAAAGGAGCCCCTCCTTGAGAGCTGGCATGAACCACACACCTATAACTTCTGCTTTGTAAGGAAATCCAAAAGGTTGTGACCCATGGAGACCTACAGGGTCTGTGCAAAATGAGCTAAGTGTGAGACTCCAGGGTGATGTGAAGGGACATTTGACCCTTGGCTCGGTCTAGCTGATCTCCACCCCTGCTTTTTAAGTCTTTGCTTCTCTAAAGTAAGACCAGCAGTATTTTAAGTCTTTACTTGTTAACCTCTTATTATTCTAAGAACTTGATTTGCACTGACTCTTTAAATTCCCATGACAATCCATTTACAGATGAAAAACCCAGTTTTATAAAGATTTGTTTGTCCAGGGAGAAATAGCTGGGACCTGGAAATTGCTGTGTCAGCTTCTATTATGGTTTGGTATATACTTAATTATTTCATTTAATTCCAAATTTTCCATCTCCACAGTACTGGGGGATGTTATTAATCCACTCCAAGTATAAATTAACTGAGAAATTTTGTGTTATAGGAACAGCCTTTCTGTATTGGAAATTTTGCGAAGATTTCTGGGAACAGAGTCCTAGAGGACTGCTAGTCTTTTGAGACCATCCCTGAACTGCCCAGAAGAGCCACGGTGCTGAGACATGTATGGGTATTTGGTCTAAGCACCTCTGGGCTCAGGTACTTTGTTTGTTTTGTGGCAGGAAAAACTGCATGTAGTGGCAAGCATTTTTTTCATATATGACATGCAGCTCAGAGAGAGAGATGAGATGCTTTTTGAATCGTACTTTTCTGCCCATAGTAATTCTGTGATTATCACAATGGGGCCACAGGAGTTCCTAACAAGAGATAAAACAATCAACCGTTAAGGCCATTAAGGACCAAGACTCAGAAGTCAACCTGTGCTTTGTCAGGTTAATGGACATTTTCAAGTGCCCTGGTCTTGGAAAATGGCAAAAGTACAGGCCTAAATCACTGCTAAATAGACTTATGTAATATAAAGTACAGATGGTTGTTGGGGCCTGGACTTTATGGCAGGTAAAAAAAATGTCAATAACTTCCATTCGATTGATGTGTGTAATAAGTTACAGTGTAGTACCTTGACTCTACACAGCATGATTTAACTTTTTTTAGGACTTCATTTTCTCTTCTTGAAAACAAAAATATGCTGGGTACCAGTTATTCAGGAAGCTGAGACGGGATGATGACAAGTTTTAGGCTAGCCTGTGCTACTTAGCAAGATCTTAATAACTTTTTAAAAGGTCTGGCCATGTAGCTCAGTGGTGCAGTATTTTCTAGCATGTGTGAGGGCCTAGATTCAATCCCCAGTATCAACTGCAGAAAGAGAGAGACAGAAATGCAGGGATAGAGACAGAGACAGAGACAAAAACAGAGACAGAGACCAAAACATGTTATTAGTTATAGAACAGCATGTGTGTACTTTCATAACAGGAATCCAAACAATGTACATTTAAGTTCCAATTTTTAATATTCTTTGATGAAGCCAGAATCATCTTCACTTATTTCAAAAATGAATCCCTTGTAGAAGTTTTATGTAAAGCTCTTCCTTCCATGTTTCTAAAGTTATCCGTACCCCAAACAAGTTATTAAGCTGCATTAATTCAGCCCATCTTGAGCACTCAATGTTATAAACAATAAAAAAGAAAAAAAAAATTCATGTTGTTTATCAGCTGCTGTCTTTTCTATAATAACATGGGCTATGTGGAACACAGTCCTCTGAGGATGGATTTTATTGAAAACTCTGGTGTTCGAGGAAGATTCCTAGGGTGTCTGAATCCTTAACAGAAATGCCAGGCAGTCCAGAGCCATTCTGTAAAGAGAAAGGGTTCCTAAGTGGAGCGGGGATGGCTGCCTCACTCAGCAGGGTCCACCTCGGATTTGGGCTGTGTTTAGGAAGTGGAATGTTGCAGGCCTCCTTGGAACACTCAGTGATGATAATCATTTACTCCAGAAAGGATAAAGTGGGATCTGTTTGAATTGATGTTGGAGAGTCACATTTTCAGGGCCATTCTGCACATACTCTAGTCTTTTTAGAATCAAGTAGGCTAAAGCAAATGGGAGAGGCTGAGACCGCAACAGAACATACAAATACAGATGCCTTGGTATGTTTACGTCCTTATTGTTGTCCCTGTGTGGACCCAGAGTTAATGACCTTTGTCTCCAGGAGCATACAGGATGTTGTGTTTCAAATCTTCCAGGAGGAAGGCTTCCTCCCAACTTATTTCCTTCAACACATTTTAAATTTAGTGTGAAGATAGAGACAAAGTTGCCTGCATGCCTGACCCTGCTCACTGTCTCTTTGTCCCCACAGAATCTGTACCAGAACAGGTTTTTAGGCCTGGCCGCCATGGCGTCTCCATCTCGAAATTCCCAGAGCCGGCGCCGGTGCAAGGAGCCACTCCGCTACAGCTACAACCCTGACCAGTTCCACAACATGGACATCAGGGGCGGCCCCCACGATGGCGTCACCATTCCCCGCTCCACCAGTGACACTGACCTGGTCACCTCGGACAGCCGCTCCACGCTCATGGTCAGCAGCTCCTACTATTCCATAGGACACTCACAGGACCTGGTGATTCACTGGGACATCAAGGAGGAAGTGGACGCAGGGGACTGGATTGGCATGTACCTCATTGGTGAGTACCCTGTACCCTCCATCTCTGCTCACAGAGCCACTGATTTAACCAGGGCAACTGATATCATGCTGCAGAAATAACAGTCTCAGGCACAGGTATGGGCATTCAATAAGTATATTACTCATAATTCACTTGTACATACATTTAACATATTTCTAAACTCTACAAAATGATTAAAATACACATTGAACTGAGTTGTACACACCGAGGTCCACCAGTCCTTTATTTTGTTTTTCTGTAATCCAAACAGTCAGTCCTCTCTTAACATCTCTACCTGATGGAAGGAATCATGAGATAATAGGGTGAGGCATGGTTAAACACAAATGCCATCGCATTTGCAACTAATGGAGCTCTTCTATTTGTGAATAAGTGAATATCAAAAACCTTTTTCTAAACCTGTGTGTATAAGACCAAAGTAACACTACATTCCCAACTAGTATTCAGGTGACTTCACTGTTTCTAGCATAATCATTTCATTTAGTCCTTCAACATTCTTACTGCTTTATTTTCAAAAGACATAGTGGGTTTATACAGTCATGGTACTGGAGAAAGCTGACTTGCTCTATCTGATATAGCACTTTTTTCAAAAATTATGAAAGTTTCCAAATTAAAAGTTCATCTAGAGAGATTTTTCTATGTGAATTTTCTCAAATCTAAATTCAAATTTTGCAAATAGAGTATATGCTAAGCCAACTACTTTACAAAAGTTTCACCATTCTCATTGGTTTTGAAAATAAATCTTACAAATATGAAACTGTGAAATTAAGTTATATGAAAAACATATTTCCTCTATTTTATATGGTAGAGTCAAGGTGGTAGAAATTGACATGGTATTACACAATCTAAGGTGTGTATTTTGGGGAACTAGGAGAGTTGATAGATCCAACACTAGGTCCAAGAAAGGCCAAGCATTCTGCCTTCAGTCTCATGGTGTGCCATGTACACACTCTGACACACAACGCCAGAGTTAACTTCACTGAGCATCACAGGAAGGAATGGGTTGTTGTATGTGGCTTTACAACCTAGACCACTTTTCTGAGAGTTTAAAGGGAATCTCATCCAACTGTCAGAAAATTATTTTTGGCTCTCTTGAAATTTCTGCTATCAGCTTGGTTCATATATTTACAGAACATGCACAACTAAAGATGAAAGAAGCATAACTTCTGAAATTTTTACACAAATAGTACTTACTAGATAAAGTGGACTTTGAAGCAGTGAAACATCATGCTTTTTATTAGTTCTTGAATAAAAGTAGATAGCATCAATCTAGGACAATAAGAAAGATAACAGGTTACTGAACATATTTTTTCAGTCCAGATGGTTTTAAATTTAATTAACTATCAATATTTTAAATGTAGAAATTTCATATTAAAGTCCGTCTTTCTAGTGTTCTCCACAGAAGCCCACAACTTGTCAAACTCAGCCTGAAATACCACAGGGCTGTAATCAGCTGGACTTAAGGCCCTGTTGCCCCTTTCACATGGCCTGCAGCCTTCAGTTTTGCCACAGTCACCCTCTACGCACACTCTCTTTAGTTGGGGGTGTGACTTGTTTCATACTTGAGGTTTTTGCCTATACACAGAGACCTTATTTTGAATCACCTCTTCAGAGGAGTAATCTTCTGCAGGCAATGAGTGTTGGTGCCATTCCCATGTTAGGGACAACAGGAAGAGGAATGTGTTTGGGGAGAAGGTGATGAATTTAGGGGGATTTACAGGGTATGAAATATCTGAAGAACTCTCATCTATGGATGGGTCTGAGCTCAGTCATAGATTCTGGCTGGTGAAGTAGATCTGGGGTGACTAGCATTGTGAGGAACATTGAAGTTACCTGTGGACTTGGAATAGAAAGAGCACCAGAAGGTCCCACCAGAGAGAAAGACAGAGGAGACATTCAAAAAGAAGATGGAACAGGTGGGGAAGTGGAAGGATACCAAGGACTAGAGAGGAGGGTGCTGGAAGAAGGAAGGGCTGTCAGCCACATCAAGTATCATGAAACTCCTCAAATGATTAAAATCTGCTGTTAACGTGATGTTTGGGCTGAGCCAAAATAACCACAAGTCATCATCTTGAAATCTTAGTCTGACAGTTTGTTATTCTCATAGTAGCTACACATATATAACTGTGAAGTTATTTAATGCAAAATGCTAACACTTTCAATAGTGTAATACTTCATTTTCCAACCCAAAATTGTCTACGTTTCTTCAAAGTTCACAATTTTCAAATCTTTAGTAACTTCTTTTGCAGATAGGCAGAACCTTGCCAAACCTCAAGTCATAGATCTAGACCTAGAAATTTTAGAGGTGGTGATTTCATCTAATCTGTCATTTCCAAATGAGGAAATGCCAGTTCAATGGCTCCCATGTCCACCCAGCTGTCACATCTGGCAGCAGAACCCACACTGGCCATGGACATGTTGGCACTCTGGTGCGGCCACAGGTGCAGGCCATTCCACATCAGTGGGCCATCAGAACATCCATATGAGGCCAAGTGTGTGATGGCTTCAGCATTGTCTGATCTCTGCAGCTCTCTGGATGAACATGGAAACATGATTTTCTCTTGCCATAGGACAGTGAAGATATCTGAATGCAGGGAGTGATTGATGTGTGTCTCAATGGCACTCTAACCAAGTCACTAGTGCTGCCCGTACAGTAGAAACCCAGCAGTGGAACAATAAATTGCATGAATGTCATTGTTACCCTCATTTGCAAAATGAAGAGCTAGATGAAAGCAATAAGTGATTCTCTCCTAGTGGCGTAGAATGGGGAAGACTGTAGAGTTTCAGTGACAAGTACACCTGGTTTACAGTCATGCATTGCTTTTGGCCAGGTATATGATTTCAGCCAGGCACTTTCTTTTAAGTTTCAGGCTCGTTACCCAAAAAATTGAGGACATCAAATATAGCTCATTTCTCAGGGTCAGTGGAAGGGAATGATGAAATAATGGGTATTTACTGCCTGGAAATCAATACTGTATATCACTTTTTGATTTATCTTGTCAAGAAGCTTTAGTCCCTGCATGCATGGTGGCAAATTACCCTAATTGCCATGCTTAATTTGGCCCTGCCTTGACCCATAGATAAATATTCAACTATTTTCATTGTGTGTTATAGACAAAGTCACCTGACAGGGGCCTAAAGAATGATTTTTTAAATATCAAAATGTCAGTAAATGTACAGAAACTTATCATTTGGTCAAGCACAAATACATAGAAGCACGTTTATTAGAAATATTTCAGCAAGTAGTTTTGCATTTATTCATTAAGTCGTACCTATTTGATTTTGTCAAGTGAAAATGTAATTCTTTATTAACCCTATAGTATCTAGAGTTAATGAAAGATTCAGCAACAACCTTGGATTACAGTAAGGGAACATTATTGTGTAATTGGATTAGGATACATAATCTGATGAATATAATTGAAATCTCTAATCATTGGAATGCTATATTAATGAGAATATATTTACTGTATATAAATATTCTACCTCTTCATTTAACATTTCAATGTTTTTAACAACCTAATCTCTTAAAACTCTTTTTGTAGAACTCTCAGTTTTTAAAAATAGTCATTCCTTTGACTTTTTTGGAAGCAGTTTCTATTAAAAATGCTTAAATATGAACTAAACATGCAATTAAAATCACAAGAACACAACCGAATCAGTAAAATAGGCATAACACACTCATAATTTGCAAAGATACTTGACTTATCAAGTTACAGTTTGAATAAATCACATTCATACCATGTTATCCCGGTACCATGCTAGAATTTGGCCTGTAACTTAAAACATAATGAAACTAGACTATAATTATGCATTCAAAATTCCACATATCAAGAAATGGTAACTCAGAGAAAATTACAATAAAGTATACCCATAAACTGGTGCCTGGAGATATATATTCTCTTCCCTACCTTCTGGGTCACTCCACCTATGTGATGTTAGCAACTATATGTACTCCGTACCAAACTGATTCTTGGGAATTTTTTTAAATATCTTTCTCTGATCTATGTGCTCACATGTACATAGTATTGTGTTAACTGAAACTCATGCACATTCAGACTGTGTTTCCCTTCCCACAGTTCGTGGCAACTGAAGTTACAGTGACAAGAGTTAACAAGAACCTGCAGAGGCAGGATATGTACAGGTTTCAGTTAACATAGCATTGCACAAAGCAAGGGTTGCTTCTCTGTCTCTCTCTCAATCTCTTTCTCTCTCCCTCTTCCTGTTGCCTTTTTCCCCCTCCTCACTCATATATATATATATTTCAGTCTTACTCATTTTTTGTTTTCAGTGCTGGGGATGGAACCCAGGGCTTCATACCTGCCCAGCAAGCCCTCTAACACTAAGCTACACTGCTAGTCCATATGTTACTCACATGTTATATATTGTGACACATTTTCATCCTTTGATTTTGCATGTTTGAATGGAGGGTGTTAAAATTTCTACCAAAACACTCTTAATTAATCTTTATCTACTGTGTTAGTCTGTTTTCTGATGCTAACAACACCATACTAAACTCTGGGTAAGCTACAAAGCAAAGAAGCTTATTTTGGCTCATGGTTCTGGTACAAGGTCAAGGAGCCTAACCTGATGGAGTCCTGAGGCAGCACAGGGCATCACATGGAGTGATACAGGAAGTGTACATGCATATGCAAGCAAGTGTGTGCACGTGTGTGTACATGTGTGTGTGCATGTGTGTGGCAGGTTTCCCTTACAATAATAAAATATCAGAGATGACCAGTTTATAAAGACAGACTTATTCTGATTCATGGTTTCAGTCTGTGGCCCATTAGTCCTGTTCTTTTGGGTCTGTAGTGGGGAAGCCCATGTGGTGGGGAACAGCACATAGAGGAACCAAGCTGTCTTAGTTATAAGACACAATAAACGACACTCAGATGCCCACAATTTAAGGGAGAAAAGGTTTATTTTAGCTCACAGTTTATAGAAGTTTCAGTCCACAGTCAGCTGTCTCTAAAGCAGAACAGCATGGCAGAGGAGCACCACAA